TATGTTGTCCCTTATTTGTTAGCAGTTGCTGATACTGCCTATATGCCACGGACTGGTCCATCTCATCATATGATGACTTTAGTCTAAAACTCTGGCATGAAAGACGGCAGGAGATGTGCATTCCTTTAAGCAACAAGCTAGGTCTTTAATTTTTGCAGCCAGCCTTTAGGATCAGGCAAAAACAAGCTGCTTAGTTTAAAAAGAAATCTGATTAAAATGTGTTTAAATTTCAGTGCTGGGACTCAGTAGTTGAATTTGTGTATTTTCTGCCATTTTTTGAGTCATTGTTTCTTTCTTGCAGAAGCTCTGATCATCTCGTCTGTTTTTTTAATCTTCAGATTTTCAACATGTTTGTCTTTTCTGTTTCTCTCATTATCCTGCGGTGACCTGCAGTAACTTTAGAGTGTCTGTTTGAAGAAGGGAAGTAATTATAATGCACTAACAAATACTTAGTGACGTAGCCTAGCTTGTGTGACCTGCAGTGTTTACATTCTGCTTGTGTGTGTGTGTGTTGGCAGCTGATGACGCGCTGACGGCAAGCAGCTTGGGCCTGAATGTGAGAGTGGCTCTGTGAACTCTCTGCGGGCCTTTCTAGTCATTTCCTCAACGACTGAAATTAAACGCTCTCCCTTTTTTGTTTTTTCTTCGCAGAGGAAGTGACTCACCTCTCTCTCTGTGTTGTGTTGTCCCACTCTGACTCTGACCCCTGTGATCCTAACCCACTTGAGTGCCTTCACATTTTTTTTGATAATCCACCACGTGATCTGTCAGCACCACTGGCTTCTCCTGACCGAGAGTCACAGCTGAGCAAATCACTGTTTGATTATAGTGTGGTGTCACATTTACCGTCAGAATTGTTTGAGCCCAATTTTAGAGTTACGTGAAATGGTTGCATTCAATGCAAATAGCTGCAGCAATACTTCCAGCAGAGATATTCTTTTTCTGCTGATGTAAATGCAAAATATTAGTTAAGATAGTAAAAAGATATTARTTGTACATAACCCTTTCCACAGACCCCCACTTTTAAGGATCTGAACTATGTCTTTATGTGTATGTGTGGTACATAAGGGTCAGAAATAGCACCAAGGTTCATCGTGGTGCAGAGGGCCAAGTTAATGCCATCCAGAGTAATTTAYTGGCTGCACAGTTTGTTCTTAAAGCACTTGGCTCCAAAGACAACCAGGCTTTTATGTTATGGTTGCAGTCAAATTAATTGACTGGATTTAAGCACTTTCCAAAATGCTGTTTTTTCTTTTCTTATCTCAGTATAAACTTACAGTATGTAGCTATATATATATAGTTGATTTAGTCTGCAGAATTACAGGTTACTTAGGTTTATGACGGTAAGCCATTCTGTGGGTTTCTCAGCTGCTTGGTGCAGAGGATATTTCCTGATAAAAATAACAGATGATGCAGTAAAGACTAACTACTGCAGCTCAGTGTGTAAACAGAAAATAACAATAATGAAAGTTTAGGTTATGATCTCAGATAAAGTTCAGGTTAAAGTCTGGTTTTCGGTATTCTACCTTAATGAAATACTGATTTTAGTTTGTTTTATTAATACCAAAGTGACTGGAAAATGCATGTTTGAGCATTTATTTTTTTACTTAATTTAATATAAAACTTGATTTAAAATCAATTGTACAATGAAAATTTATGATACAATGCAACATAATTTAAAAGGCAAAAAGATAATACTACTTGTTCTCTTACTGCAGTGTTTCACCTACCATTGATGGGCAACTCGATCCCCACCAGGGTTGCCAGATAAAAACAAAAATGTGCTTTTTGCCCTCCTTTGCTGTGCATATTTTCACCAAATAGAACACACACCTYATCTTACAACACCCTCACTCAGCAGTTTGGGTCAAAATACATTAATTTTAAAGGGACTGTGCAACAGTTTACCATCTGGCAACCCTGGCCCCCACAACACCACCCCCTGGGGTTGTCTGGACCCTGAGCTGTTKGTTTTGAGTAACTTTGGCCCCTTTGGCAMTTTAGTTGAATAGCCCTGGTGTAAAAAAAAGCTGTCTTATTACTTATAGAAATTTACTGATTTACTTCCATTTCTTGTCTGCAGATTAATAAATAAGTAGGACTCTAATGATCCTTTAGGACCACCACAGGAAAAGTTGTGGTTTAGGGTAAAACATCTGAACAGCTGCAGGACAGCTGGACATAAAATGTATTTACATTTGTGTATACTGCTGTTCTCTGACAGCTCTTAAATCACTATTTTAATGGTAAAAGACAAAGGCTTACACCAAAACTCCTTTGTCCAYGTTTACCCTTCTACTAGATTTATTTAAAATGAATTAATGTGTATTTTTTATGGAATCCTGCTGACAAAGAAAACTACTGAAAACGACTAAAACAGCTAAAACCCCATTCATTTAGCGCATCAGGAACACTGAAAGAAATACAGATAAAATATCCGCAACATATTCACGTAACTTTTCTGTTATGACGGCCAAAGCCACCTGAAACAGCAGTTTGTTTGTCCGAACACAGCTGTCATTACTCAGCTTTAGGTGAAAAGTGGTGTTTAGGCTGTTTGTTTGGGCGTGACCGCAGCACAGACGCTATTATTTCACAATCAGCTGCTGCCAAAACTTTCTCCCAAAGAGGATACAAAAGTGGAAAAATAACCCTGTTACATGTCATCATTTTATCCTCTTTCCTCTTTTTAAATTTAACACCCCCCCCCCAAAAAAAAAAAAAACAGAAAAGGAGTATAAACAAGACCTTTTTTATTGTAATAATGTGTACAGAAGCTAACAGGATGACTGATGTGAATCTCACAACTAAAACAAAAATGTAACTCGTTTCATATTTTTTATTGTTTTGAGGAGTCATACTATTCTTTAACCTACATGCAGAGGTCRGACTAAAAAAACAAATAAATACAATTAGCTGGGGCAGAGACGTGTTGCGTTCAGAATATACACAACATATTTTTTCCAACACTTTGTGTCGARTACAATGATTACACCAGTAAATATAGTACTTACTTACATAGAGATTATTATATTTGTTTACAGGTTGTTACATCAAAGTTTAGTTCAAACAGCTGAGGATGACGCTCACATGGTTGCATCAGGAGGAAATAAGACTTTATATGTACTCAGAGTTCACGTTACATTTTTAGTTAAGGATGCTCATTTATTTATTTTCTACAAAAAGGTCACTGCTTAACCAAAATAAAATACTAAAACTACATTTTATATACAAAAATTGATGAAAGGCATTGTCACAAATAAATGTAAAGTTTGTTGACAGAAGTTTGGTAGAAAAGAAATACTTTCTAGTTATAACATCACAAGCCTAAAGTAAAACAGGAATGTTTAATGCAAGATGCTGCCAAGTGCTGATATCATGGTGGAGACTGTGGAACGGTAAGTTTAAATCTGATTTAAAAAAAAAAAAAACACAAAAACTAAGGTCAAGGAGTTGHTGTTACCTGATCAATTTAGTTTCAGTAAATGCAGTTTACTTGKCATCTGAAAAYACATTTCCTCAAAGGTATTTTTAATCTGAAAAGAGCTTCAYTGAGTGAGAAGTAGTGTTAGGAGCTCAGCAGTTAGGTTGACCTGAGAGCCTGCAGGAGTCATGGGCGGGGTTTGTGTGTGTGTGTGTGTGTGGGGGGGGGGGGGGGGCTCTGCCATGGGGAAGTTTGGCTTAAAGACACGTCCCAGGGGTGTTTCTGGTACCAAAATGCGTTTCTGGTCCCCACCTGTCGTTTTGCTCCTCAGCATGGCTGCCTAAAAACGCTGCAGGATTTCTCAAACATGCATGAATGAGTCAAAGCAAGGCTTTGGGCATGATTTTTTATGAGAGTTTAACATTATAATGTGATATAAAACTCAAAAAAAGTTGATTTTACATGATATTGCCCTTTTAATAAAATGAATATTGCATGTGCCAGGTCCAGAAGGTTACTGTAGGTTCGTCATGTTMCATCTGGATATTTGTGGAATTCAAAAACGCAAAAATTAAAAAAAAATATGCACTGAAAGAAAACCCAGGAAGTTGACATCATCGGCTATTAAAAAAAGCATTTTAGGGCTGCAAGCTAACAATTATTTTAGTAAATCGATTAATCTATCGATTATTCTGATGATTAATCGAGTAATCAGATATAAAAAAATCGTCATGTTTTGCAGTAATTATTTAAGCTTATTTTATGAGAMATACAATTATTTAATATTGTGAAGATCTACATCTGATGACCCTGCTGCAATCAAAGTAAAATTACAATACCAGTTGTATTAATTAATGCATTTTAAACTCCATTTGTTTGTATTTATCTGAGGTTTGAGGAGGCATTAATTAAAAATACTCTGTCACTRAATCAGTTTTAATCATCACTGAAAAATCTAATAAATGCTGTAAATTTATTGTTATGGATTGGAAAACTGAATGTCTTTTTTTTTTTTTTACTTAACTGTTAGCGGAAGTGCTAACATCGTAGCATTGTGTAACACAAATAACATTCCGGGAGGACGAAAGTGCGCCGATTATAACAGTCTGTATTTTTTACGAAGCTTCGAGGCAGATAAATTTGCCTTGAGGATTTTTTGTAATCGAATTACTCAAATTATTCGAGGAATCGTTTCAGCCCTGAAGCATTTAGGATCTTTAGGATTTTTTTACAAGGGCAGAACAAGCTGGACAATTAAAACTATGCATGTTTTTAATTCCATATCTTTTCAAATACTGTGTAGTTTATAGAAATATGTCTAAATAAACCTACAAACATAGAATTATGTTTTTTAAGAGTAAAAATAAGAAAATTGTTCATCTGGTTTCTCTTCGTGAAGCATGAGCCAGCATGACGTCTCCGTCTCTGCAGTGTGTAACCAGAAACAGGAAGTCGGTTTTGTCCAAAATCCACTTCAGGAACAGTCAAACAGCAGCTGAGGCTTAGGTTTATTTGAGAGGGCACTTGAGTGCTACTAATTTCAACAATTTGTTGTTTGTCTTTTGAAAAATTGGCCAAACAGCTACGTCCTGTGCAAAAAACCACCAGAGTGCAGCAGCTGCATTATAAACAAGCAGAGGTCATTTTTAAATGTAAAACAGAGTTCAGATGGTGAACTAGACATGACATAATGGAACGATGATGAAGTGGATGCTGTTAAAGACCATGAAGAACACATTTCATCAGAGTTTCATACAAAAGTAACAGCTTCCATTTGTAAACAGGTGCTTACACACAGTCCACAGTGGAGCCGTCGTCCTCCTCGGCCCCCCACTCTCCAAACCTCATCTGAGGAGAGGGAGCTGCAGGGTGGAGGTTGTTAATGTCGTCCGGGTCTGTGTCGTCAGTGGGGCCTATCCCCATGTGGCCGCCCTCCTCGCGGTGCGTGCGCACGTGTTTCCGCAGCGCCGCGGGCTCCTTGAAGGTGCGGTTGCAGAAGGGACAGCAGCACGGCCGCTCCCCCGTGTGGATGAGCTGGTGGTGCTTGAGGTGCTGCAGGCGGCTCAGGCGCTTCCCGCAGATGGCGCACACGTAGGGCTTCTCGCCGGTGTGCGTGCGGCGGTGCTTGCGCAGGCCGTCCAGGTGGCGGAAGCAGTTCCCGCACTCGGAGCAGGAGTAYGGCTTCTCGCCCGTGTGGATGCGCAGGTGCGTTTTGAGCGCCCCAGACTCGCGGAAGCGGCGCCCGCAGACGCCGCACGGGTAGGGCTTCTCCCCCGTGTGGATCCGGATGTGCTTCTTCAGGCTGGAGATCAGACGGAAAGTCTTCCCGCACTCTAAGCAGTGGTGGGGGCGATCTGCCGATGGTTCCCCTGCCGGGTCAGGAGCAGAAGGCCCCGCAGAGTCCTCTGCTCTGCCTGGTGAGACACCGTCTCCTCTGACCGCTCCTGAAGACCTGAGCAAAGGTTTCTGTCCATCGAGTCCGCCCTGCTGCAAGGCGCTGCCACATTCACGTACCGGTCTCTGGTGGYGCAGTGAGTGAGCGAAAGAGCGCTGGGAGCCTCCTTCATTTCCCACTTGACCGTAACCAATGTCCCCGACGGTAAGGGACGACCCCTCTCCATCTACAGCTTGGCTGTCAGGATGCAAACCAGAGTCCTCCCTGCCGGGCTGAGCAGAGCCAGAGGACAGTCCCTGCTCCTCTTTAATCTCAAACCTGGGTGYTCCTCCTGGTCCCTGTGGCTGCCGGTCATCTTCAAGAAAACAAACACAGATGGTAAGCAGAGGCAGTACTCTAGTAAAATACTATAATCGTCAGGTTATCTAATGTGTAGTGTTTTTTTTTTTTTTTTTTTTGTATGTTTACCTGGTCTGCTGGAATCTGAGCACATATGAGATGAGCTGGATCCAAACGAGTCCAGAGCGTGGTTAGTCACAGAGCCATCYGGCTGGATGGAAAGCTGACACATTTTGTAATCCTCTCTTGGTTCAAACCCATGAATAGATTCCTCCACAGAGCCACCGAGACCCAAGTCCACCCCRGCTCTGTTCACATTCCTGGGGTTCTGGTGGTCCCGCTCCAAGCCAGCAGTCATCGAAGCCATGGAGGACAGTGAAGGTTCAAACACAGACTGGCTGATCGACTGGGGCCCAGAGTAGGACACCTGCAGCTGGTCTATGAGCTTCTGGGCGCTGCACAGACACTCCTGCAGRGTCTTCAGCTCCCTCTCTGACACCTCCAGCCGCACTTTGAGCCTCTGGTTCTCCTGCTCCTTGTGCAGCAGCTCCTGCTGGGTCTCGTTCAGCACCAGAACCACCTCTCCAAGCAGSGTGTCCACAGCAGCGGACATGGCGGTCTGAATGGTCGGAGCCAGGCGGGATTTAAGCGACGTCACGGTCATGYTGCCCTGCTGGGCTTTGCGGTCATAGCAGGACTCGATCCTGTCGGGATGGTTGATGATACTTTGTTTACGGTTGTGAGCCGGAGAGGAATCCATGCTAGCTGCTGTGTAGCCTGTCCTCCTGGAAGCCATTGCTTAAGATTCAGACGGTATATTAAAGTTTAATATGTTACTTTAAACTGCGCTGGTTTCGTTGCTGTGATGTTTCAGTACGTTTAGTTACATCTGCTTCATTAGCAGTTTACCTGACGCTGCTGCAGATAGTGCAGCCTCCGCCCGCTAACATTAGCCTGATGATGTTTTAAACATGAATGAGCCGCTCGGAGGCGTTCAGCTAAAAACAAAGAAGCTCTAATGAAAAAATAGAAAAAAAAGCCTTTGACAGCGCTGATTAAACTCCTATTTTCTTACTAAAAGACTTCGATAACACGGCCCAGAGCCGAGACTCACCCATCTCCAGAGCTGCAGTTTATACGCAGAGGCCTGTCGCGTTCATATGACGTCACAACAGGTTTAAATACTACCCTTGTAAGACTTGAAGGTACAGTCATCTTTCTAAAATATTTTACCATCCAGTTGCTACATACAGGTGTTTTTTTTAGTTCGGTAGATATGTTAAATGATATTTAATAAATCGTACTTTGAATGAGCTATAATGATTTACCCACCCATGTAAAAACCTTTATTATTGAACTTTTACTTTCCCCTAAGCATTCTTAGGAATTTAGGATTTTCCAAATACAAATGTTTCCTCAATGCTTTTTTTTTTTCAAATATAATGTGTTTTTTTTCACCATTTTATGATGCTGAAATTAATAAAAAAAAAAGAAACAAAATTATTAAAGCTAAAAGAAAGTGGACACTAAAATAAGCAAAATGATAGCTAAAAGTTAATAGTAGGCAAAAATAAATGTAGCAAAAGAGTAACTAAAAATAGCTAAATGGAAGCTAAAATAGAAAAGGGGTAGCTAAAAGAATCAGATCAGCATTTCCACCATAAAAGAATCAGAATAGATAAGAGTATAAAAAGGCAAGCTAAAAACTATAAGTAGCTAAAGAAGGCAAAAATTAGAGCTTAGGCAAATATCAAAGAGAACAATATTTTGGATTTGAAATAAACAAAAAAATGTTGATAATTATGATGATAATAATGTGAGATTTTGCTAAATTATATACATAAAAACTTTTAAACAACTTTGTACACTTTAATAATGATAATACTACTTGGATGTAACTTACATCAAACTGTTTCACCAGCAAAAACTAGAGGAACTGGCCGGGGAACTGTTTATTAGGCTGATGACTGGGTTTTTTCCTGAGTGCATTTACAGAAGATGACCACTAAGTGGCAGTGTATAAAAAGACTTAATGAGGTTCTCTGAAGTTGTATATTAATTTATGTAAAAAGAAATAATATTACGCACAGTTCAATGTAATATTATGGGATGTTCTTCTCAAATGTGTTGTAAGTGACTCTCAGTCACTACCACACCAAAACTTTGTTAAATTTCTGTAAAACTGACTTAATTAAAGGCTTTTTTTTTTGTTTTTGTTTGTTAATTTAGATTGGCTGCATCTTGAATTGAGCTGGCTCTAAAAKTGAATCTAAGAAGAGGTGTATTTAATTATTATCAGGCTAATTAAAATCTGCCCAGTAGTTTATGAGATAATTTATGAACAGAGTTAACTCTAATTAGTTAATGACCCAGCTTTTAAACAAAGATCTTGTGCAATAGGATCAGTCTCAGCTACTACCACGCTAAACTGTCTCTTCATAGCTATAAAAATGATTTMATTATAGCTGTTTTTAATGTTTTTGACTTTCCATTAATTAATTAATTGAGCTGGCTTGGCTCCAAAACTTAATCAGTTGCAGACAAGCACCTAGAGTGTTTTATTTCTGAGTTTAATTAAAAGTTGTCTAGTGGTTTGTGAGATATTTTGCTAACAGACATACATCAAACACAGGCAGTAAAACGTTTCTTTCCAGCTGCAAGCGATAAATAGTGACTTGTGTCTTGACAGTCAATGTTCAGGGTGGAATCTACTCCAAAAGTAGCAGATTGCAGGAATAGAAATGCTGAAGCGCACTCAGGACATTGACCCCCTGCTTCTTCAGACATGTGGAGATCATGAACGGCTCATCTCACATCCAAACCCAGCAGCAGGTCTGACTTCGCACACAGGATGTCACTGCCTGCTTTAATGCAGGACGTTGGCCAAGCAGATCTTCAACCCTGCCATAATTCGCAGATGATCTGCTCTTTGTCAGAGCAGCGTAGGAGAGGAAATGTTTCCCACACTGAGACAGAAAACATGTTCACGGTTTACACAGAGCTCTTCATAACTGTGATAAAAGATCTATTTTTTTTTTTATTTTGCTCGTGGAGTTTGTGTTGTGAATGACTCTGAGCCACTACGTCAAATTTGAGCCCAGTATAAATAAAATAAGTTAAAGCCTTTATTTTCCTTATCAGCTGTATSGGTCACCTCGAAATAGAACCAGCTCTAAAAGTTAATCAGTTATGAAAGCAGAGTCAGTAGTTACACCTGAACATTTTTTCCCTTATTTAGGCAGACTAGGTCAGTCTGCATCAAAAGTTACCCTTGTCTTTCCCCTTGACCATTAATTAAAAAAAATCCTTTAATTTAACCATTTGAAGGGGAGGACAGTGACTATTCCACCAATAAACAACAGGGATATACAGTATATTTTTGGCAGACATGAAGTTTTTCTGCTCCTACTGTTACAGGTTCTGTATTAAGCATTTGGACTGCCTCCATTTCCCAAAACAAAAATAATTTATTCCTCACGGGGTCGTTCCCGATGCAGAAAACAGTCTTGGTGAAGCCGCTGAGGGAAAATCTGATGTGATTTTTCTGTGGCACACAGGGTCTGCACGTCATATTGTTTCACAACGTTCCACCACTAACATCTGCTCCGATGTGTGTCACTTCCACAGAAATATCTCTCCRTATTTGACTGAACTTCTGTTTTTAAACTGAAAGTTGCACTATAATTGTAAGGTTTAGACATCTGGGCCCAGTGGTGGTTTTATTGTGGGTGAGTCACACAAAAAGGACCGATTCAGCAACAGTGTTTAAACGTATTCRACCAAATGAACACAGACCATGTTACAGAATATACACACACACCCACACACATCCTGGATTCACACATACRCGCCGATACACTATTATATTATAATTATGAAATATAGGAAAAAATATGTCAAAACCCTGTTTCTGCTGCAAGATGAAAGATGTGATTTAATTTGTTTTGTACAGATCTGGTATTATAAATCTCTTGAGTGTATTTTCACTGAGCTTKCTTTGTCATTTCTTCATGTGGAAGAAACCATCCAGATGTTAGACGTCCCCGGAGGCTGAGCTGTATGGAGCTAGTAGTAAACAGCTGGATTTAAAGTGGCAGTGAGTGACTTTTAGTTTTCATTAAAGTCATTTTATAGTTTTAAAGGAATTAAAGAGCTGCTTTTAAAACTGAAACATGGACAAAATGTGCAATTTATTACATGAAAATCACACCATCTTTGATGAGTAATTAAAACTGGGCATCTGCTTTTCATCTGTACTTTACATTTGGAATAAAGCGAGAGACAGCAGGCGCAAATCGGCCCTGCTGGATAAAGCTGAGCAGAATATCAGGCTCATTCCTGTCCTGTAAACTAGGCTTAAGTTAATGCTGAGTCAGCATGAAACAGTCATTTTCCTCTTTATTCTTCYGTAAGTTTTTTGAATTAGAATATACTTCAGGGAACTTTGACCTTTTTCAACTATTTATATCTCAAAATATTCTTCTTATTCAGGCCATTACAGCTGTAACGTCTGCTTTTTGTACCTTTTAAACATTTTCCTCTTATTATTATTTATTATTATTATTATTATTATTATTATTATTATTAACTGTTCCTTTTCTAATAAAAAGGCATTGAGAACCTCAAATTGTTGTTTTTTTGTTTGTTTTCAAAGCTATTTCAACGCTTTTAATTTTCAGCTTTTAGCTACTTTTTTATTTCAGCTAATGTTTGTTTTAACTTTTATGTACTTTCTTGCTGATTTCAGCTTTTAGCTAGTTCATTTAATCTTTTAGCTACCGTTTTTCTCATTCACTTCAGCTGCTGTTCCCAGTTTTTGTTTTTTATTGCTCTGCTTATTTTAAAAATTTCTTAGCTACAATTTTATTCCTTTTAACTTGTACCTACTGTTCAACTATATAGCTTTCAACAATCATAATCATCACCATCATCATTTATTATTAAAGTGTTTAAAAACCCAAAGTTCTGTACAGATGCATCACAATTAAAAGGATAGATAGATAAGTAAGTAAGTAAGTGAGTAAATAAATAAACAGCCAATGATGCGTTCATGTCGTCTTGTCCCTGTTAGAAACGCAGCAGCTGAATTCTGAACCAGCTGTAGACGATGAACCAAAGACTGGTCAAACACAGTGAAAGGAGCTGCAGTCTAGAAGTGATAAAAGCATGAATAACCCTCTCAAGGGCGTYATGAGGAAGATAATCCTTGACTTTACTTAGAAGCCTCAGATGATAAAAGCTAGACTGAACTATGATTCTGCTAACATTGATTTTAAGCYACTGCTCAGCTGATTTTGGATTTGTTTGCTGGTTTTAGCTTTTAGCCTGTCCACTTTTTGTTCTGTTTCAGCTCACGTTCATTGGATTTTCTTTACCTGCTTCTCTCTTTTCTAGGATCATGATCATTAGCAATCATCGTATGAAAGGCGGAGGACACGCTGGACGGGTATCAGGTCCATCTCAGGGACAAACGAGACAAACATTCGGTTTCCAGTGAACCTAACATGAATGTTTTTGGTCTGTGGGAGGAGAAAACCCACATGTGTACAGGGAGAACATATAACTTCCACTCCAGGCAAGGGATGCGAACCTGTGACCTTTTCGCTGAGAGGCCACAACTTACTAGTCCACCTCAGCTGTCAGAAAAGCTGATTGGKTCATTCAAAGAAATTCAGTAAATAATCAAGGCCCCCGCTGAAAGGATTTCTCAGCCTCCTTTTGGATTTCCGTCGCTCCTAAAAAGGAGAACCGGCTGTCGCTAACCAATGAATAACCACTGAATAATCTGGAAACCGTGAAGAATGAAGAGTAAAGTTTGCTGGCAGTGATCTAACTAACAGGGAGTCTGTGGTAATCTCATTAACAGTGTGCACTCAGACACATTGCTGAAGTATTCATCCAGCGAGGAGGTGGAGCTGGTGCAGAGAGGTTGGAATGGAGGGGGGAGGGGGGGGGCAGAAAGAAGGAGGCGATTGTTGGGCAGGAGGGAACACATATAGGAGGGAGGAAAGAGAGGCAGAGAGGGAGCAAGTGAAACGCAACCGAGGAAGGAGCTCATTCAGATCTGATGAAGACTACGGCCAACAGGTAAGATCATGTCTAAGTCTCATGATGCATGAAGTTCAGCTGAAGACACAGAACTCAGGAGGAGCTCCTGCTTTGCTTTCAGGACTTAAATTTTTTTTTWAAAAAAAAGAAGAAATCCTGAATGAGTTCTTTGTTTTCACATCTCAGACTGGCTTTCAGGTCTGCAGTGGGTTTTGGTGCACTCTGCCTGTAATCAGATCCAGCAGGGGCCATGCTGGTAATCGGACCTGTTGTGCAATCCCCCCGCCTGGAATGTTGTTTCAGAGCGAAGCACCTCAGAAATCTTAACAAACGGGGAATCATTTCAAACCGCTCTTTAAACCAAACTCTAAACCATCTCTTAACAAGGCGATGACTAATCCACAGTTTTGACATCATGTTTAACTAAAACCACAAGTTCCAGTTCGTCCAGAATGAAGTGAGTTGAGCTTTTCTTCATGGGAACAGGTTGATTTAACGCGCTTCATCTCTGCAGTCATAACATGTAAAGATGATTTCAGCTCTTTCATCTAAGAGTTGATTCATATTTTCCTTTTCTCTAATTGAATTCTCCTTTTTTTCTGATCCAGCATGACCAACCCCACGATGAAGCTCCAGTTTTCTTTCCTGATCTTCTGCCTGGTTTCCAGCAGAGGTTACTGTCTGAAACCTACGTCGTCTGGAGCCACTGAAACGCCACCATCATTTTATGTTGATTATGAATACGAGGACACAACCCCGGCCCCTGCACCGGGCAGAGGGTCTCTAAAGCCAGGAACCTCGCAGCACTGTGACTATGACCCCTGTCGAGACAATCAGACCCCCTGTATGGACCTGTCGCTGTTGACTGGCTGCCTGTGCCGGGGCTTGACTCTGTACACCGAACTGCCGGAGGCACCCAGGATCCAGTCCGTGTTCCATAACGGCTCAGGAGTTCTGGTTTGGTGGTGCGCCCCGTATTCGTACGTCACAGCATACACGGTGACAGTGGGGGGTCTCGAGAGGCAGAGCTTCGGGGCGGGCGAAAGGAGGGCCCTGCTCGGAGAGATAGCCGCCGAGGAAGAGGTTTGCATCGTCTCCCGGAACGACGTGGGGAACAGCAACAGCACCTGCGAGAAGTACCGACCAAAAGGCGGCAAGCGGCCTCTGACGGGGTGGCTCATCGGGGGGGCCGGGGGCCTCCTGCTGCTCGTCTTGCTGGCCGCCATGCTGTGGAGGCACAGGAGGCAGAAGAAACAGGAGACCGGCGACGTGTGAACGGAGACGAGGGCAGAAAACACTGAATGTGAGACAGAGACTTTCTGCAAACTGGAGCAAATCAGCTGATTATTACAGAAAAAAATGAGCTGCAAACCCTCAATGTGCTCAGGGAAAACAAAAAGTCAACACAAACTGAATGGAAAAAACAAGACGAATAAAAAGCAAACACATTTTAGAGGATTAAACAACACACATGGATCTGCTTACTGGTTAGAATAAAAACATTCAGCTACACACCCAAAGGGTGATTCAAGACATTTTWAAATAATTCTTATTCTGCCTTTTAGCACAAAATCATGCAAAAAGAAAACAATAAAAAAAACTTTTCGGAGATGGGCACAGATGTGGAGCTGGTGCTGGAACATATATTTAACTTAAACCAATTTAACGAAAAAAAAACGTGTCTTCTTAAAGCTCTCTGTGAGAGTGTTCATTGTTTCGTATTTAACTGAAGCCCATCTGGACTGAATGTAACATTAGAGATGAATAAAAACAGAATGACCTGTTGTGTTTTTTTATTTGGGTGKTTATGTTCAGACTGTTGGCTCTTTCAGCCGTGGTGTTTGTTCGATATTAAATCTGATCATTAAAGCGAAGTGAAACATTGTCTGAGCTGCACTCGTGTGTTAAATTGTGTTTTCCTGGCAGCTGTCTGMCGGGTGTGTTCACATCTGTTCTGTTCTGTCTGAAGACTGGACCAGCACCAGTTTTCATTTCTGGGGGGTGTGGGAGGGGTTCCTCCTTGGTTTTTTCATACAATAGCCTCTTGTAACATGGATGGATTTCATGAAACTTGTTCTATCTTGCCTGAAACTTCCAGTCAGCAGTGAGCTGTTGAGAAGCTTCAAGCTTTCCTGGCACAATTTTAAAAAAAAAGGACAAAAAGTTTTAATCCACCCAGCTTACATAATGCTCAAGCCTCAAACTGTGTGTCTTGAAGCCATGATTTAATTTTTTGTTTTGGGTCTGGCTGTCCTGCAGCGGTTCCTCTGCTCCTGGCTTTTCTTTCTTTTTTTTTCTTTCTTTCGCAGAGTGTTCTGGAAGTCATTAAACATCTCATTGCCGRGGCAGAAATGACCTCAGGATGTGGCGTTTGGTGACACAAGCTGAAAACTTCTTGTGACTCGGGCAAGATGACACAGAAAATATCATCTGGCGGCATTAATAACTAGCAGCTTGTGTGTGATGYACTTAGAACAGAACTCATTACCTGTGACTGAGCGGTTCGTCCGAGTGCAGCAGAATAAATGACACACTTTTAGGAATAAAACACATCTGGTGTACACATTGTGTTTAAAAAAACTTAAATATACCTGCTGAATCATACAGTGAATAGCTATATTCCTGATTAGTTTGTGTCCAGTTATTTAAGGTCAAACAGACGCTGCATTTCCTGCAAAAGAAACAAGCTTAAAATAGCTGTAATGGGCTGAAAAAAGCAGAAAAACACTACAATTACCAGGAAACAAAAGCAAGTTTGCTGAATTAAGCAGAAAATAGCTGAAATTAACACAAAAAGTTTAAATTAACTAAAGAAAATTGTCTCAACTTAGTAGAAAAACAGTTTAACTGTTCCCAAATAAAAGCTGGAATAAGCAAAAATGAGCTGAAAAAGCATAATTACACTAAAACAGGCAGAAAAAGACAAACAGCACATCTGCTGAATTAAGCAGAAAATACTTGAAACAAACACAAATAAGGTGAAATTAGTTTAGTAAAAAAACTAAAAAAAAATACTCAAATTAGCAGAAAAACAGCAAATTGTAGGAAAAAACTGAGGCTAGCTGAAATAATTTTTACACATAAGATCTTTAGACTTGAATTAAAAGGAAATCATCTGTAAAAATTATGATAATTTGGACATTTTCAAATGTTCTTTAAAAGGTTATGAATAATGAATGTCTTACCTGTTGTAGATGAGCTAACAGCCAGTCATGTCAGTGTCGGTTTTACAGTTTTCAACCAGGCACATTTTTCTATTCCTAGTGTGGAAGAAAATGTTTTATGTTGCAGATGATACTGTATTTATTCATTTAGCTGTGATGTTTGTGGACAAAGTTTTAATGATAAGTCGACTTTAGGCAGAAACACAAGAACCCACACAGGTCAGAAACTCTTTGGTTGTGATGTTTGTGGTTGAAGTTTTAGTCAAAAAACATTTTATTTCTAAGTGTCATAACGGTTCAGAGTGATTACTGCTTGATCTGACTCCTGACGGCATCACCTTCTTGTTAGAAACCTTAAAATCAGTTTCTAAAAATGTATTAWTTAAAATAGTAACCCGCTTTCTGAAAGGCCCAGACTGTTTTTTTTTATTTGTTTTGTTTTTTTTAGACAAAAATGGTTGCACGTGAGGCCAAATGTTTGGAGTGACGATGTAAGAAACTGAAGAGATTTGTGAAAGAAGATAAGCTTTTCTGAATATCGGCTTAGCACAAAATGTTCTGTGACCCTGTGATAAATAGGTATCAAGTTATTTTATAAATTCTAACAACTTGGCAGTTTTACTCTATTTTCTTCTCCTTATAGTAACATTTGTTTCATTTTTGTTATAGAAAAGTGAATTAATGACTTTATTTTTTTTTTTACCAAAGTAGCATTTAATGGTCATCTGGCAGACGTTAATCTGTAAAGTATTTGCTCATGTTGATTCTGATCTGCATATTTTGTCCCCCTCCTTTAGAAATGATCATCAAGAGTTTTACTCTGAAGAACAGTGGATGGTTTTAGTGCTTCGCATAGTTTTCAGCACAACGTCTCCCTCATGTTTGCAGTGAATTTCTCCAGAGACTGAAGTTTTTTTTTTTAAGTCTGCAGGTGAACTGTTGTTTTGAATCCAGAATGTGATGACAGGATACTTCTGACCCAATCTGAGTCACACTTCTGTCATTCTGTGGTCTGCTGAGTCATGTTACTCTTCTGGTCAGGACACAGAAAGCAGTGAATGAGTTCAGCTGACTGTGGCTTTAATGAACAAATACACTGTGTTGGCCTCGATGTGCTGCTGTAACTGCATGACTAATAGACTTTTTGTGCAATTTAGTCTGACTGTGTTTTTGTGAAGTTGTGGAATTTACCTGCAGGTAGTGAAATATGTGATAAAGAGACAGGAAAGAGTGACGACTCATCAAAAAGATACACAAGAAATAGAAACAAAGTGCGACGCTGTAAAGAAATTATTTTTATTCTTTTGATTTTATACTGATTTAAACAGGAACAAAACAGATTTTAGCAAAGCAGATACACTAATCTGAAGTTTTGAGCATTGTACCTCCATGAAGGTTTATCAGTTTACTGCCCTCTGCTGGTCACATTCAGACCTGTCAGTTCAGATCAGCCTTCAAGATTTATATATAAAAAGTAGATTTTTAACTTTTTTAATATCCAGTTGTGAGTTATTTACTTCGTTTCTTTTAAAAAGTGCTTCCAAATAACCAATCTTTCTTGCAATTTGTAATCAATAAAATCAATCAAATTTTACTTTGGATTAGCTCATGTTCAGTCCAGCACTTGACCTTATTCAGAGTATAAATTTGTTTGTTAAACTGAAGGCATAAAAAGCTCCTAAACTCAGATGATGAACCAGTGTTGTGTTGAAACATAAATAACTTAACAGTTTAGTTTAAATCAGATTATTAGGCATCATATCATTTGGTAATTTATTAAAAGATATACCTCTCTAGACACTGTTCAGCTGTTGTGAATCACCCCCCCCCCCACACACACACATACATACATACACATCCTTGTATTTGCATCAAACTGAGTACATTGTTGACTTCCATTCATTTACATCAAAACGTCACTTTGATAGTAACTATGGCACAAATGGTTCTCACTCTGTACTCAAAACAAGTATACACATTCTTATATTCGCTACATGTCATGTTCAAGGACAAGACTTTAAAAAAAACCTTGATATAGCTCCAAGAAGTACACTGCAAAAATTGTCCACCAAACAACAAGTTAAACAAAACCATCGATTATAATCTGAATCTTCCCAAATTAAATAAAAATAATCTGTCGGTGACGTAACAAGATGAACAATCGAACACATTCCTCTCTTGCTTAGCTTATCAGTCTCAAAACAAGAACAAAACCTTTTTGGCTGCATAAGATTGTAAGCTTGGGTTTCATTTAAAAGCACTAATTTCCAGATATTATCCAAGATTAACCTTCAGGGTAGACAGGGCTGGCAGTCCGGAAGAAATAATATAAAAAAAGTCTTGCACAGTGGTTGAGGACTTAGTAAGCATCATTATTTACCCAACACGCTTTGCAGTGTAAATGATATGGTGGCGTCTGTTATACAATCTACTTTTTAAAATGTATAAAAACTAAACAGCTTATTCTAACAGTCTTTTACAGCTGAAGTAAATGTTGATCAAATAATGTGTAATGTCACAACGAGTCGGGGTTCCCTTTAAAATTAACTGTAGGCTGCGGTATTACATTCATTATGCATGAACGCATTCATTTTAACAGAGTTATTTATCAGAACACACAGTGAAGCACAGGGCAAAAGAGTAGTTCATTATATCATTATTAGTAATTCACCAGCAGGTGTACTAATAGCTGCTTCCTGCCTGCAGGGTCAGATTTGACCAGCCTGTAAAAATGTTCCAAGTAGGTCAGACATCCATCAGAAGCCAACAGGCCAGGACACCTGGTCTGATCTGGAGTTTCAGTTTTAATTCTTTTGAAGGTGCTCTGCTGCATTAAAGCAACTTGTAGGGTGGTGTGGTTAAAAACCAGCGTTTAATGAAGTGATTTTGAGGGTCTACCGTGGAGGAAAGTCCAGGTTCATGTGGGTGGTTGTAGAAACTAATCCCATCATGTTTACTCACTCGTCTCGGTTCAAAGCACAGCCTTATAATAAACAGATTAACTAAGTCTGAAGTAAGTGGCAGGATGACTGGGGTTTATTTAACTGCAGCARAGTCTGCATTGGATCATATTTCTTCTTATATAATCATAGATAAAGAAGGGTAAAGAGGGGAGAAACGAACTGAAGAGTTTGACATCTTTTATCTTTCAGGTGAAAGATGGATGATGATTGTTTTCACAGGATCCACTAGAGGTCATTATTGCAGAGAGCACAGGGGAGGCTGAAGCCCCCCCCACCCCCACCCCCTCAGGCATACAGCCACTGATAAAGCAGTGGAAATGGAAATGACTTAACAGAGGGCRAGAATCAGTTACATCACAGGTGAGTTCGAGGAGTTTGAAGAGACGCTTTCTCGTTTTCTTCCACCAAATTTTGGTTTTGTGAATTTCGCCCACATCTCAGCAAGCAGATCATTCCTCCTCCTCTAAACTCCCAGGGATAAAACTCTGAGAGCATGTCATAAAAAGGAGAAAATCTTTGCCCGTCTACCCCCCATCCCCATCCTCCGCTTTCTTCTTTTTCCTCCTATGCAGAGCTCGAGAAACCATGGCAACCTGGCACGACACAGGACAGAGCTGAGGAGGGTTGAAGTGAAGCTCAGCTTGGAGAGGAAGGTTATCAATCACTTTGGCATGGGCTCAGTCTCACACACACACACACACACACACACACAC